CTGAGAACTGGTCTGTCTGCTTCTAAATCCACTGTACTGGGGAACGTGTTGTTTGGTAACATGGCTGATCTCCCCTGCACATGGTAGGGACCTGACTTCTCTCTCTCTCTCTCTCTCTCTCTCTCTCTCTCTCTCACACACACACACACACACACACACACACACACACACACACCCCATGCTTGCCCGTGGTGGGCCCTTGAATGATGCTGTGGGATTCAGCTGAATCCATCAGCATTTTAGAGAAAGCACAGCCAGTTTGCTTTCCTGCGTCACCATCACTTGGCTTAAAAAGCCAGAGGACAGAAACAAGCTTCCCCCTCCAGCAAAGCTATGAGCAGGGTATGTGCTAAATCCTGGTTTTCATTTGCCAGATTCAGCCTGTGAATACCAGTGTCCCAATAGCTCTCCAGATTCAAGAAAGCAAACTCCTGCCCCCATGTGACTATAAAACCAGGAGCCTCCATCCCTTTCCAACTGGTCCACCCATCACAGCACTAAAAACTGAGTTTTTGTATGTGAAAAGGGCTTGCCAGATTCCCAGAACAGCTGTGGCAGGAAATTGAATAACAAGGTAAAAGTGTAACCCTGTACTACACCCTTAATATTGGAGGGGAGAGGGTGGTACAGTCCATTAAGAAAGAAAAATCTAAAAAAAAAAAAGAAAGAAAAATCTTACTGTTGACCAGTCAAGCTCATACACAGAGCTCTACTTGAGGTTCAAGTCACCAAGTCCAACCCAGAACTGGAGACGAGGATTTGAGAAGGATTCACCTGCTCCACATAACAACCCTTCAGCTCCACAAAACATGTGTGGTCATTCTAGCCATTCTGCACTGCCCCATATGGTCACCCTTTCCCAGTTAGTAAGAAAACCTCTTTACACACTTTCTCTTCTTTTCTCTATCACTTAGGATGCTTTTGGATGAGGATGAGGGTGAGGATAACAGCGAACATTTATTGAGTAGGTTGTGTTCCTGAGAAGAAACTCAGAGACCAGCATGCATGATGTGCTGTTGGGATTAACATCCACAGAAAGGGAGAAAAAAGAAGCAGAATTGGGCAGAGGGAGAAGTTGAGCTGAGATGGAAGCCCAACAAAGACGTCCATCAACCCCAGGGAGAGTTCCAGAACCAGTGTGACCTTTCAGAGTGGTCCTGAGTTGAGGCAAGGGGTCCAGCACTTATAGTTCCTCATAGATCAGTCGTGGGATGTAGACTGTTCCCAGAAAGAGACCCTGGCCTTGGGGCAACATGGTCATCTTCCCCTGGGGCAATACTTGTAAAGCACTCCCTGTGAGCTGGGAGAAATAAGGCATTCCCAAAGCGTGGGGTGGGTGGCACATCAGAGCCCCTGCATCAAGCACATACCTCATGCCCAGTCTTGTCCCACACCCTTCACATTCTCTCATTTAATCCTCACAACAATCCTACGAGGTAGGCACTAGAATTATCCCCTTTTTGTGTGCGGAAACTGATGCACAGAGAGGTTTAGTAACTTGCCTGATGTCACACAGCCACAGAGTTGTGGAGCCAGGATTTAAACCTAGGCAGACTGATTCTGGTGATCATCAGCCCACCACTCCTCCCATGCTAGTAAAAGAGAAGCCAACAGGGGCGTCTGGGTGGCTCAGTCGTTGGGCGTCTGCCTTCGGCTCGGGTCATGATCCCAGGGTCCTGGGATCGAGCCCCGCATCGGGCTCCCTGCTCCGCGGGAGGCCTGCTTCTCCCTCTCACACTCCCCTTGCTTGTGTTCCCTCTCTCGCTGCCTCTCTCTCTGTCAAATAAATAAAATCTTTAAAAAAAAAAAAAAAAAGAGAAGCCAACAAAAACTGGACAGAGATTTTTTTTTCCCCCAAAACATGTAGAAGAATATCTAGCATATAATAAGCACTCAAAATGTTTTTGAATGAATGAATTGGTTCACAAAGGGGAAAATCCAATGCTATGTGTTTCAAGAGCAACTGGGAGTCTGGCTCCACTTCTCTGCTCTTCCATGTGTTGGCTTTGTCCTCAGGATGGCTTCCATGGAGGTCACAAGATGGACCCAGGGTTACCTGTCTCCACCAGGAGGGGAGAGAACTTCACTTCTCTAGCCATCAGAAGACTCAAGTGTCACACTTTGAACTTCACAATCTGAACTGATCACAGAGGTAAAAGAATTAAGATGATGCTGATTGTTAGGACAGTCAGGAACCTCCTTGACATCCCACCCAAACCCAGAAGGCAAATATGAGTGCTGGTAGGAAGTGGGGAGAAGAGAAATGGATACTGAGTAGGTAATCAATGAACAACCACTGACCCTTTATCCATGGGCCCCCAAGCTCTTGAACCCTTTGCTCCCCTCCCCAGGGTCTAGCTTCACCTACTCCTCATCCCCTGCCTAAGTGTCCCTTGTCTACCTTCATTTTGCAGCTGAGGGTTTGGGGACATGGGCTACCCTTAGATCCTGTGGGAGAAGGGGAACAAGAAGAAAGCAGTCCACTGAGAGTGGGGTCTAGGCTTGGGATGTTTAAGATAATTCTTTACACAATTAGATTAACCACTTTGCAGAGCCTCAGATAAGCCCCTGTGGCCACACTATGTAAAATATGCCATTCCCTCTCCGCTTTCCTTGCCTTATTTTCTTCATAGCCCTTATCTCTGTCTAGACTTCTATTATGTTTATATTTATTCAGTTGTTTGATGTCTTTTTTCTCCACTAGAATAGATGCTCCACAAAGCAACTACTTTATCTCATTCATCCCTGAGTTTTTGTCACCTAAAACAGTGCCCGGCACAAAACAGGTCCTCAGTAGACGTTTGTTGGGTGGATGAATGGATAACCAGTGCCTTTGTGTTGCTATGGTAACAGGCTTGGTCCCCTCCTCCACTTTGAATAGCATTACCAAAGACCTTTTTCTGTTATTCCCAACTTCAAAGTGACAGGCACCAGGAAGACAATTAAAGAAAGACAAAAGATGGAATGCCATCCTATCTCAAATAAATCACAGTCTGTCCTCACATGCCAGAGAACATCTGATCCATAGATACTGGTCATCTCTAGGTAGCCCTTGGTTTCAGAGGAAACAAATCAATAAAACCATTTTGTCTGTACAGATTTCACAAGCGTGAAATGTAAGATTTTGACAACAGTCCTTTTCAATTCTTAATAATCATTAAATTGATAGAAATCACACATGCACTACAAGGCCAGCAATGGCTGGCTTGCCTCGGCTAATATTTAATTAGAGGGTGCTGACTGTCTCAGCCAACATGTGTTCACATGGTTCACAGGCTTGCCAGCCACAGAATAAGGAGAATAGTTCTATCACCTTCCACATGGTGATCTGGGAGCACCAGTTAGGGGTGCCTGGGTGGCTCAGTCGGTTAAGCGTCTGCCTTCAGCTGAGGTCGTGATCCCAGGGTCCTGGGATCAAGCCCCGCATTGGGCTCCCTGCTCAGCGGGAAGCCTGCTTCTCCCTCTCCTCCCCACTCCTGCTAGCTCTTGCTATCTCTGTCTCTCTCTCAAATAAATAAAATCTTTTTAAAAAAGAAAGAAGAAAGAAAAGGAAAAAAAAAAAAAGACCACAGAATTTGAAGCCAATCTCCCTGGGTTCCAACCCAGCTCCACCTTTTACTGTTGGGTAAGTTGATTGATCCTTCTGTGCCTCCACTTCCTTATTCATAAACTGAGGATACTGTTAGTAGCCACTGCACAAGACTGTTGCAAAGATGAATGAGTTATTACATGGGAAGCACTGAGAGGAGGGCGTGACTCAGAGCGAGCACCATGTAAGCGTTGGCTGTTGGAATGTCTGGTCTTCAGTGTTGAAGAAATCAATCAGGCAAGTCTCCTTCACTTCCACAACCCACTCATACACATGTAATACATACACAACACACGTAACACATCCACAACACATACAACATACAACACAGAGAGAATAAAACATACAAGACGCACAACACACACACACACACACATACATAACACAGCCAAGCATTTTCATACTCTGTACTTGGTGGTTTCATCCAACTTTAGAGCCAGATCCCTGCTAAGATACTCATGGTATTCATCGCTCTTCCCCACTGCATGTCAATGGGACATCATGCAATGTCATGATAAAGCAATTTACCAACTGCTCATTCAAATTGCTCCCAGAGCGAAATAGTCATTACCAATTGTGTTTCAGAAGCTTCTCAGCAATAGTGTCTTCGCCAGTGTAGTGTGGTGTTCTGGTGCAGAGCTCTGGAGTGAGACCTGAGTTCAGATCCTGACGTTACTACTTACCAACTGTGTGACTAGGGGTGAGCTGCTAAACTGCTCTGGCTGTAACATTATTCTCATTTTATGGATGAGGAAACAAAGAACCAGAAAGAACAAACTGCTAAACGTGACCCTCATGTGGTTATCCACAAAGATTTACCTTTCATGGTCGTCATAAGAAATGAAAAGATAGGGTGCGTATCTAGACGAGGGCTTGGCACATGCTAATAGATGCTAACATAATATGTTGGGTAAGTGGCGGTGGGGGTGATGAATTTCTTAGAGTATTTCTTCTAGTGGAAAAAAAAAAAGTCTCTTTGACTAAATCGTTAACCATTAATGAAACTGATGGTGACTTGAGTTCCACCAGCACGTTTGGGTTCCAGATCCCATAAACTTTGACCCAGCATTGTGTTGCAACTATACCATTTCCCTTCGTGAAATTTGAGAGGTGATGTTTGGACATTTGTTTCATTTCGTTTCATTTCCTCCTGATGGGTGGGCTTAACTTGTTTCTCAATTTAGGCAAAGCAAAAGGGAGAAGTATTTTAAATCGCTGTGATCGCCCAAGTCGGTCCTACCCTCTGGTCCCGGAGAAGGAGCCCCAAGTTCTTTTCTCCTCTCCTACAGTATTTGGGCTTTTTCCAGTTCCTGCGATTGCCAAATATCATCCTTTCCTTTGTTTTGCCCCTCCTTCATCTTGCCCCCAGCATTTGGGTGCCTTAACAAGGAGTTTTGAAATAATATCTTACCCATATTTCACGTTCTTGTGGTGCCTTTCTGTTCACTCGGTGCTTGCACGTCCATTCCTCATTCCTGGCTGAGGGAAGACGTCCGTCCTCCCTATGATGGCACAGCTAAGGCTCACAGAGGTGAACCAGCAAGCCCTGGGCGTCGGCCGTCAAACAGACACCACGGTCTCCTGGTACAACAAGAAGGCAGCCTTTAACTGAGACACTTGAAATTGTGGTAAAATTTGGGGTGCCTGGGTAGCTCAGTCGGCTAAGCGTCTGCCTTCGGCTCAGGTCATGATCCCAGGGTCCTGGGATCGAGCCCCGCATCGGGCTCCCTGCTCAGTGGGAAGCCTGTTTCTTCCTCTCCC